ATATATATATATATATATATATATATATAGATTTATTAAATTTTAAGTTGTTCAACCTTTTCAAAGTGTGAAAGTTTGGCTATAACTTTTTTTTAGCATATTGCTTCTGAATTGGAACTATGTCAGGAACGCATGAATAGATTGGAAACGGTATGCAATTACCTCACAGCGAGTTTGTCCGAATTACCAGAAAACTCATCTGCATCCCAATCAATCGATTTTGCCGCTGAGCTTACGAAGTATTCTAATGCAATTATGGAGTTGAAACGGAAGTATGAATTTAGTGTGCATTGTTTAAGTTAATTAGCTTTTTTTGAAGATGCGGATTTTGTTGTCTCTTTTTATTTCGTGCCTATTTTAGGTTTGAGGCACAACGTAATTTGTCATTTACGGATGCCAAGGAAGTAGCTGTCCAGTCGTATGAAAAGAAACCAAAGCAAAACTTATATGCTGAAACTCTCTTTGTCACTCCGAAAGAACAGCGAGGCGTGCAGCTGGTAAAATGGAGTTTAATCTTGTTTTGTTCAGCGGTCTTGGCGTTCCTCGCGTGGTTCGCATCTTTAAAACCTGGTGTTGTAAATAATTGGAAGAATGCTCCTGGTTTACATTTAGATTACCTCAATGGCCCACCTCCTACGTAATTCCTCCGTGTTATCTTTGATTTTATTTCAAAGGTTATGAAATTCTGTTATTGGTTTGAAGTAATGATTTTTGCTGGCTGAAGCAGTAATAGGTCTACTCTGAACAACTTAACTTTAACCAAAATGTAAAAAAATTAAACCACTAATTGCAAATTCCTGGAGTAGGTTTACTATTTTTAAAATTGAGATATGGTGTGTCTTGACAGTACGTTATTTACCTCACAGCAATTCGTACAATTTTTGCTGTGTAGTAGTTGCATACTGCTAAGAGAGACCGTATCTCAGTTTTAAAAATAGTAAACTTCTTCAGTAACTCATGTTCAGTGGTTTGGTTTTTTTTTACATTTGACTTAATTCTAAAGTTGTTAAGAACAGATCTAACTGTCCAGGACTTGTTCTATCATCTAAAAGTTTTCCGTGTCTTATATACACTCGCCTTACTGGTTGTCATTTGATTGTTCTTTTTATTTCTTCTATTTCTTTATTTGTCATCATATTTGAACGTTTTAATTGACTTTTATTGTTGTTTATAGCAAGTTTAGTAATGATATATCGCCATCTAAATGGTTATAAGGCTTTTTTAAACATGATAATCATTGGGTGACCACTGACTTCGTAGACAATTATTACGCTGAACAGTTTCGCGTTTCCTATCATTGTGTTTGTTTGTTGTATATTTGTGTGTAAGTTTCTCATTATATAGTTGCCTTCATATTCATTCAGTTGACTTAGCTTTAACTTGGATTGATTATTGCTGATAAACAAAAAAATATTAGACTGTAAACCTATGCTGCTGTTGTTTGGACATTGTATCGGTGGTGTTTTTTTGATTTGAAAAATTTTTAAATTCAGGTATCACCAATCAGTCAACCGTTTCACTTTTCTCTTTTTTCTTGCATTTTTTCAGACAACGGAAGACGGGGGAGAGGACATTTTCGCTGTTAAGAAATACTAGTTCCTGAAACATTTGTTGCGTTTTCAGCGGCATTTTGAAATTCAGAAAACGGAGAAGTGCTGCCCGGTCGTCGTTGGTCAATCATGGTTTGCAGCTGCTTTTGAAGTTCACTGTTTAAAGGTGTCTGTCAATGTGTTCGTGTGTTTATGTAGTATGTTATCGCTATACGTCCTGTTCTGAACTGGTGTCGGTGCGTGGAGTTCGATTTTGAATTCCGGTTCATACAGTGGGTCATCTGAGCGCGCGTGTTTAACAAGAATAGTTTTGAAAAGCATTTGGGGATGTCATGTGGATGTAGGAAATTGCTGGGTTTTCTAAATTAGAAGTGTTTTGAACTGACAAGAATTTGAGTTGCTGTAGTTTTTGTTGTTGTCGATGTTGCTGCTGCTGCTGTTATAGTCGTTTCCTGACAGATCCATTGACGCCTGAAGACTCTTATCGATGTGTTTTTGACTGGACAAATGTTTTTTTTTTCTTTTTGAGAAGAAGAAGAAGAGTATTCCGTACCAGATATGTATAATGTGTTTACTGCTGACAAGTTGTAACTGTTAGATTTTGAAAATTGGCAGTTAGAGTAGTTAAAGATATGCAGACAAAGGATACAAAATTTTATCGTATTTTATTCAATTAATTTTATGGTTCTTTTCTTCTCCATTATATTCAATTTTTCTTCCTCGTTTTTTTTTTTTTTTTACGCTGATCAGAGGAGAAAGCAGGAAATTTTGTTTGTACAGCGATTTTATCTGATCTATTTGTTGAAATTTATGATGATCGAGTTTTGTATGCCAACTTGTTAAGTATGTACTTCTGTGTTCAAAATGAAATTTTTTTTTGCACGATCATTTAGAGGTAATACTTATTGGTGGATTTTGTTAATCAGTTTTGGAAAAAAAAAAAGAAAAGTTCAAATTTTGTTTTGGAGTTGCACAAATTTTTTCAAAAAAGAAAAAACGAGGATTTCTTTTTTGCACTAATTTGTGTTAGATATTTATCGGCAAACAGAAGAAAAAAAAAATAATATATCTGTTAAAGAATCTTAAAATCTTATTTGGTTATAAAGATGCATTTTATTGAATAAAAGATCTGGTTAAATAACAATTAGAACACATTTAGTCAGTGTTTATGAATGGATCCACTCCGGATATTACGTACCTCTATTTACGGTTTCTTTTTTCTCATTGCATTCGTTTACGGTGCGTCTGACTATGTTATTCTCATTGATGCTTCTCCCGGAGTTGGTCGAGAATTTCAGGTTTGTCGGATTTTTTTTGTGGAAGAAATTTTAATGATTTTTACCGGTTGCTTGTATAACTTTTTTGACTGAAAATGTCATGTTTTTAAAAAAGTATATCTGTTGTTGTTAGATGAAAGAAGGTATAAAAAAGGAAAAATTGACGCTATTAACTGCCTGGATATCGTGGTTAAGAGTTGTTGTAGTAGTTACAGGTAGCTGTCAACATATAATTTTAAATACTAAAAATTTTTATGCAAATTTTTGAAAGAAAGCATTTCCTAATACTGGTAACAGTTGCTGTCGTTATTTGAAACTTAAATAACTGCCGTCCACTGCTGTTCATTGAGTTTCGCATAAAACATCAAAAACTTCTCTGCAAAATTGCTAAACAACAGTCGATAAAGATCAAAAATTAAATGTAGGAACATTAGTGAGATCTTCTCTTGTTTTTTGAGTATTTTTAGTTTAGTTTACTTTTTTTTTTTAATAAGCTAGTTTTTTGAGTATTTTTTTATTTACTTTAAGATGTAATAAATCTTTGTTCACTGTTGTCCCATTATCTTTACATGTTTAGATTTTGAACGCGGTATCAGCCTTAAAGCATATCGTTATCGACTGAAAAAAGACATATAGAAAATCTTACTGAGTGATCGACTGTAACGAAATTTTTAAATTTTTTTAAAGCTTGCCGACCAAATGTACTGCATAAAGAAAAAAACAGAAGCAGAGGCCAAAGTTACACCTAAAAAATTCGGTTTATTTGTAGTTTTGTGGTGATATGACTGAATCTGTGCAGTTTTTTTTTTTCTTGGTGCTCACCGTTAAATAGATCACACAAGGAACTCGTCAACGTCACCAAGCCTAATTGGTTTGACAGAAAAGGTGACGCTGGAAAAAAGGTAATAAGAAAAAAACCTACAATTACGACAACGAAACTGAAATGCACATTTAGGTGCACAAAGTAAATATCGTACTTCTGTGAAATTTCCAGTTTAAGAGGTTAACGTCATTTCATAATTGTAATAACACCTGAATTCTAGGCAGCGATTAATATCGCGTCAGAATTTGGATCTGGCCTTGAAATAAATGAACGGCAAGATCGTGTAGCAGTTCTGGAATTTGGTGGTGGTGAACGGTTCAGAGAATGGCGGAAGTATAAGTTTGATGAAATAACTGTAAGTAAGCTTTCACTGACAGAAAATTTCAAAGCCGTGAAGACGGCATACGTATTTGTTGCGACAACAGCGTTGGTTATAACGGCGCCTGAGTTTCTTTTTACTGTGGTTGGAATGTGCATTATTTCTAGGACCGCTCTTGGAAATTTTCTAACTGTTTTACCCAAATAAAAATATTCGCTTTTTTAGCGAGAAGAAGTTACTTGAATTAAAATTCATAAGTTATAGTCACGAGAACATCTCGAGCAAACCATTAGAAATTTGCAAGGGCTTCAAGGAGTCAGTGATAAAGCCAAAGCTTTCGATGTTCTCATAAAAGAGATTCTACCTGGACACAAAAACGAAACCCCACTTGTTATATTCACAACTACTGATGGTAGATTTAGATCAAAGAAGTAAGTAAACGTGAAGCATAAGAGTCTGAAAAGCTAAGTTTTTCTTCTGCACAAATTTTTTCACAATTAGTAGCTTTTGTGGTGTTGTCAGATAGATCCTGCTTATTAGTTCTTGCCTCTTCAGGTCCGCAATAAATTAATTCTGTTTTAACAAGGATCTTGTTGCATATCTGTTTTATAAGGTGCTCAATCTAGATAAAAAAAATTGTTTTAGCGAAAAACAGTATGTAACGCACCGTATAGCAGAACTGTCAAAATTGGGGAATGTTCAGTTCTACGCTGCATCTTGGAGTGAAAACCCTTACCTGTAAGTTATTTTTTACGATCTGCTTTTAATGTTACTTATATGCTTGTATGTAGTACATCTCCTAGACTTGAGATCAGAAGTTGCTTTTTGATCACCTTCTTTTATGATGCACATTTAAGGTCGTCGATGATGATATTTACTAATGGCGACAAGAAAAATGTGCTAACAAACGAAGATTTGGTGAAACAAAGCCATTCTTTTTCACCACCGTTTGCTCTACGACGAGTTCAAAGTGAGCTAGAAGGCGAAGACCTGGAAACAGCCGATACTTCAGGCAAAGGGATGCCTGAGGAAAGCTTCAATGTCTCTGATGCCGGCGGGCGTTGGTCAAGTCAAGGCGCAAAAGGTCAAACCTTCGAATCATCTTTTCCACAAACAAAAGAGAGCAGTGAAGATCAATATCATGAGGCGATCACAGAAAAAAGCAGTCAATATCATTCTGATAACAGCATACTTGAGGAAGCGGGGGATGCAGTTACACAGTCACAGAGTTCTACTGCAGGAAGAGTTAGTCAAGGTGTACCGGAGGTTGCAATACGACCTCAGAGCTCTGATGTGGGTATGACCACAGCCACAGTTGCTACCTCGCCATTACAGCACACTACTGGAGCATCGTTCGGAAGCATGACCAATAGACCCGTTGTAGAAAAAAGCCGTCTAGAACCTACAACAGCGTCGTTCTCTCCTCAGCGGGTTGGTGATGTTTCAGCAGCACAAAGTCGGCGCCCATTTAAACTTAGTCGCGGTGGAAATACTCATCACAAGGTAATAACAAGCGAGAATAGTTTTTTTAAAACAACAGGCTACGGTTGGCAAAACAAAAGTAGAAATGGAACGCAAGTTCGACGTCCGTCGTACAAATGCTCAAATGGCAATTATGTAGCAGATGGGATAACAAAGAGATGCACAGATCAGGAAAGGTCAGTTAAATTTTTTTAATATTCTTTTAAATATGCAAAACTAGCTAGTTTCGTTTACAGCTGTAACTGATACTCCTGCAGTAAAATATTTCTTCGTCAGTTTAAAGAAAGTAGGGAAGAAAATAACAATTTTTTTTGCATTCTGTCTTTGTGTACTACAATTTCATTGTGTTGTGGCTTAATACAAATTTTGTGGCTGTGTCTTGGCTCATCGTTAATACAAGTTTCTCTTCCCCTGACACGATAATTCTAAGTACTTGACAGCTGATTAAAACAAATAGTTTTTGTCGCTGTTTGTATCTACCTAATTCATTAAAAAAAAGTAAAGATTAGTTACTGCTCCACTTATTTAGCCCAATTTTTCTTTTAAAATTCCACTTATTTACATTTGAACAGTCTTCCATCATAGACGAGATTGGCATTTGCCGTAAAATGTAACCGACGAGTAAAAACAGGTGCTTGTTAGGGAGTAAATTTACATCCTTCAATCAACATTTCCCTGTTAAGCCTTAGAAGGACTCGCTTTTATAAGCACTTTCGCCGCTTGAGCTTAAAAATAAGAGTTATCTTCTGGTAATAGAAGTCTTTTCATATTTGAGACTGATAAACAGCTCAATAGGATTCAGAGCAAGCTGTCATCAGAAGTTATTAGAAATGACTGTTGCAGAATTGAAGAAGACTTGTTAGAAGGCTTAGAATCAAAACTTGAAGCCGCCAAATCTGAAATCCGATACAGCCCTCAAGCACGACCTCAGGCACTGTCTGCACCAAGAAATGATGTAACAGTTCGTCCCAGTAGCTCAAGATTTAAGACGATAAAGCCACAAGGGTTTAACACTCTCTCACCCAGAACCATCAGTGGTGGCCCCACTGTTCGCAATTCGTCACCAAGACCAGGTATTTAGTCTTGCTTTAGTGTAATCAGAGTTCGCTGCAAGCGCCTTTTTCCTTGGTCATCTTATCGGGACCACATGAAGGTTGAATATTGGTTAGGAAGCGTTATTCAGCACCAGTCAGTACAAAACTGGGTGCAGTACTTTATTTGTTTATTGAAGGATGTTTGATTGACATAATATTTCTTATGGACTTTTCTGGAGGAACCGAAGACAAGCGATCGTCGTACTTAAAATTGGCTTCTTCATTAATCCAAGAAGCGCAACTTGGTCCCAATGCAACTCAGGTTAATACTCTATTTTTTTTTTCAAGAAAAGAGAAGTCATACACAACAGTTTGAACAAAAACTTTTTAGCTGAAGGGTTATACCGTAAGTCCTGTTCAGCTTTTTAGTGTCCTTCTAAGAGTTGGCTTAGTTAGCTTTTTGTTGACAGGTTGGTATGGTGCGTTATTCTGGACCTGGACGGACAGATACGGTTTTCCATCTGAACAAGCATTCCAACCTGACAAAACTAGTTCAAGAAATGATGGGTGCTCCACACATGGGTGGTACAACTCGTACTGGTGAAGCTATCTTATATGCAGTAGAAGAGTTCGCAGAGAGGCATGGTGGGCGGAAGAATTCGAACAAAATTTTGGTTGTATTTACGGATGGATACTCACAGGTTAGCTGTTGATCGAAAATATGAAGCAGTTTTGAGCAAGAAGATAAAACGACAGAAAATACACTTTCAGGACGACCCTCTCGAAGCCGCACAAACAGCCAGAAAACAGGGCATTACCATCCACGTCGTAGCTGTCGACGATGAAGCTGTTCCACCAAACCGGGAACAATTGAATGAAATCGCCATGAACCAAAAGGTAGGTCCTATTGTTAGGGCAGATAGCAGCACTTACGGGTGACGAACTTAGCCTGGTCTCATACTTTTGGCTACTTTTGGCTGTAGAATTCCATTTCATTTCTTATTCCACTGAAAGCAAATGGGTGCAATCGGCCTGAACAAAAGAAAGGGTAAAATTTCCTTCACTGTTTGTCCATTCGTAACTGTAAGTTTGCAGTGAGTTGCAAAAATTGTCTATTGGTTGCAAGTCTTTGTTTTATACATAGTCGGATGATTTTCTCGTAAGATTCAGTTCGTTATGGCTTTTTAATAGACCCTAACGAAGCACGAAGATCTCTCCGTCAAGCTGAAACCAACAGTAACAAAATTTCGCAAATTCGCTGCCCGTCAACTGTTGCTTTGACCACTGCGCCAAACCTTCCTACTTGCTTTTTTTTAGGAGGTTTATATATCAAGTGACTTTGAACGGCTGCGCATCGCAATGACCAACCTATTACGGCGATGCAGATAAAAAGCTAATAATTCGTGCTGCCCAATCAAGTCAACAAATTTTTATATACTTATATATAATATACATTTATATTTATTAAATACATTTGAAATGGTCTATTTTCGAATTTCTAATAGCACTTGGTTAAAAAGGGGAAAATGTGGGAAAGGTAACTAGATAGACAGAAAGGTATAGGCCAAAGGGACGGACAAGCAAGTGACCAAAACAGGAACACCTCTGGAAAAAACAAGAAAGATTTCATAGCCAAAACAGTAGTTCTCCTCAATTTTCACTACATTTTCACTACATTTATCACAATTAATCGCTTTTTGCTGTACTTTACTTCCTTTACATATATAAATCTTCACAGAAGTTCTTGCACAGAAAGGCATAACACAATGACAACAAAAAAAGAATGTTGTACCTGAATTTGCTGTTAACACAACTAAGTCCGTTGTTTTTTCTTCTCATCATGAAACAGTAGGTAGGGAAGAGTGTTGGAGTTCGAGTTGCTCTTAAAAAAACAAAAAGAAGCTATACGCAGTGAAAGAAATGATGGTGGGGAAAAAACAACGACAACAAACAGACAAAAATTAAAAGTTACAATGAAAACATGGAGAAACGGATGAACAACAATTACACAAATATAACCAAAAAAAAAGAAAAAAAATGACACGCACCGGAACAAAACGACTAGCAACAACAAAAAAAAGGTGAAAAAAAAACGTTTGAAAGTATATTGGAATTGATGTTTTTTATCTCTTCCTTCTTTTTTCTGCTTCGAATACAGCTTATTTACAGTAGATATGACGAAGTCAACACTAAGTAGACATAAAAAATCTATTTTCTACCTAAGACTCTTCAAAACTAAAACAGAGAAAAAATTTAGGGAGACAGAAATACTCACATTACTCCATTTTCTTCTCCCATTTGTACCATTCCCTTTTTTTTCTTCTTTAAACTTCACCGAATACTATTTCAACTGTTTGATTTATGTGAAGACAACAGAAAGCCAAGTAACAGAAACGAAACGAAACAGCCAAAAGACATCAAAATACAGACGACTATACTACTACCAATCTGAAACAAATGCAACTACAGTACCGGTAGTAGCATCATGACTGTAATCATTACCCCTATTATCATTGTCGACACCATTATCAACCAGCATCAACAACCACCACAGCAGCAACAATGACAAAAACAAACGTTTTTCAAACGATGTTGTAAATGCAGATGCAAATATAGTAAGTTAATGCGTATTTTGTGCAAATGTTTGCAGCAACTACTATAAACACCATTAGCCAACAGAAATCAAATTCCATCATCTTAGGTCCACAGTAGTTTGCATCTTCAAACAGAAA